GGAGCACCCTGCACTCCGCGGCGGCCTTGAACGTTGTTCAGCGCGATTCTGCCCCTTGTCGCGCTGCAGGTTTTGGCTTGTGACCAAGGAAGATGGGCACATGGTTACAGCACGCCAGGAGCCGCGGCTGGTCCTCATTTCTGTCGGCTGTGAAGATGGGCACTTGACCTTGGAGGCCCCAGAAATGAAGAGGATGTGCGTGCCTGTAAAGCTCCCCAGGAAAAATCCCGTGCTGAACTGCAGGTGCTGAAGAAGGGGTTCCTCCCCCCGATCTCCCTTCTCTTTACTGTCTCTCACTTCCATGCTTTACTTTTCCAGACTGAGTGGTGATTTGCATTTTCTTACGCAGAAACTGGAGGGTGAAAGTTGGGTCCCTCTGCTTCTTCTCTCCATCTGCATAATGGAGAGAGACTTCAGAACAGAGCCTGTAGTGACAGGACAAGGGGCAATGGTTTTAAACTAAAAGAGGGTAGATTTAGTTTAGATGTAAGAAGGAAATTTCTTACAATGAGGGTGGTGGGACACTGGCACAGGTTGCCCAGGAGAGTTGTGGCTGCCCCCTCCCTGGAAGTATTCAACGCCAGGTTGAATGGGGCTTTGAACAACTTGATCCCCATGACAGAGGGGTTGTACTACATGACCTTTAAAGGTCCTTTCCAACCCACGCCATTCTGTGATTCTGTGAAATTCTCTCCCATGTGTTATTCAGGAGGCCAGGATTGATTGTCATAACAAAAGGTCTAGTTTTAATTTGCTACACACTAGTGAAAACAAATCTCAGGAAAAGTTGATGCGATATTCAAACACCTTACGTTATACATCTGTTAAATGAACTGTGATCTTCAGTCTTTATAGACCATGTTTACTCATTTGTGTTTACTTCTAGTGTTTTCATTTCTGCTTGGCTGAGCAATTGCATCTCACAGCCTTAGTCATGCGTATTGGTATTTCTTGATCACCATATGTGTGAACAGTATATGCATGAACAATTGTAGATACACACTGGCCGTTTGGAATTGCTGAGATGTTGGAGTTTAGATTCCCTCACTCCTGTTCGTAGATATTTCATGGAGGTGCCTAAATTAGTAGTTTGGTTGCCCAAGGCTCACTTCGTGGTCTCAGAGGAAAGATGGGCATCCCCAGGGAGCAAGTCATTCCATGTAGGTGCTATCTCAAAGGGATTTCAGGTGAATGGGTTACAAATGTAGTTGTTTAGCTGTGTGCGGGCCTAGTTATTTTAACCATGTATTGAAATTCACACTGGAAAACTGACAAGAGGAAACAGAATACCTTTTCCCTGTTAAAATGCCAATTAATATGTAAGATTATTCAGTAACTGTAAATGGTGTTAGCCCCTAGAGATATACTGATAAGTGTTTTTCCTTTGGATAGCAGAGAAGGTTAATGTACCGGCTGCTATAATTAAAATGAAGAGTGCTGTAAAGGAACTGCATTCGCTAGCTTTTAGCATAAATCTGTTGCTGTGGAAACTCTTGATCAGCATAGCTCAGTATCTGTTTATGCAGGGCAGGTGCAAGTTATAAATGATAGCATTTCTCATTGAGAAACAGGACAGTCTTTTAAAAATCTGGCCATAATGTGTATATGTTAGCCAGTGACGCACACTACAAAAGCATGCGGTTTTCAAGATGTTCTTTTCCTAAAATTTGTTGTGCTTTTATAAAAAATATTTAAATAGATGAAATGCATATCAGTAGTGAAAAATTATCTTGGATCTTCCCATTTTAAACCTCAGTGACTTGTTTTAATTTTTTTCTTTCATTGCCATAATAAGCAGTTGCACTCTCTGACTTTAAAATTGCTAGAATTTGGGAATGCAAATAAGCAAAATTTAGATGCTTGTAAATAGACTTTGGAAGTTACCAAGTTGTCTGGTATTGTAGGTGGTTTCATAGGATGTGAACTTAGGAATACCCATAGTTAAACATTGTCTGGTACTTTTCAGGAGGAATCCTGAGGTTTTACGTGATTCTGCTGTGCTTAAACAACTTGCCATTTGATTCTGATCCATTCAGCCATTCTTAAGAATGAAGTTTGGGAATAGTACTATTCAGGCAAATGAAGATTTGGCTTTTGCTGGGAGATTCTTCCCTTCCAGCTTGTGTGTGGGAGTCGCTGTCTTACTGCACAGTGTGCTCTGCTGGCAAGGCCCTCCGCGCAGACTTGTATTTGTTCTGCCGTGGAGTGAGCACAGTGCCTTCAGGTCGGTGCTGGCTCATGCCCCATAGTTTGGAGCTAAGGCAGTGGCAGTAGCCCATCCAGCTGCAAAAGGCTGTGCAGATGCTCATCTTCAAATCTGGCAAACCCGGTTGCAGATTTTATGTAGATATTTAAAAATCCTGTGTTTGGGGGTGTCAAATGTAGGGCTGAAGCCATTGGGTTGCCACCATTTCTATTTGTGCAAGCATTAGAGGGTTTCTATAGCCCTCTAGTTATGAAGCCTCCTGTTCTTCATTTGTGCCCTTTGTCAGTGTGTGTTACAATATTTGAACTGGGTCAAAATAGTTACTTTGAAGACTTCAAAGTAGTAAAGCTATTGATGGCTGGTGTTGGAGCTCATTGAAAGGTTGAGTTGAAGTTCACCCTTTTTTGCCAGGAAAGTGTTCTTTGCGGAAACTTGTTTGTATTCTGCTGCCAGTGGCTTTTTATGCCCCATGGACTTTGCTTCCTTTTTAAATCTTTAACCTCTCTTAAGATACTGGGCTATTTTATATGCTAAATTTCAGCTTAAGAATTTCACTCAGCTCTGGCTAATTTTTTACAGCACTGAAATCTGAAGGAAAGCTTCCTTAACAATCAGGAACATTTACAATTAATAACATTTGTAGATGTCAATTGCAGTAACCAACCACATCCTTTCAAACTGACGTTCATTTTCTGAAATTAATTACGTTTCAGTTGATTTCTGGGTAGCGATCGTTTGGTGTTGCAGTTGCCTGAAAATGCAAGAGTAGACTTTTTTTTGCTTGAAAGTATGGCAAACAGATAGATTTGCTACTGGTCATTGATGTGACAGTTAGCATTGGACACCTATAGACTATTTAATGGCTCATTCTGTCACCAGCTTGCACCGTCCAGCCATGTCCATGCAACTTAGTTTCCTAAACAAGGTGACCACAAGGAGATTGCATGCTGGGAATGGTTTCTGAATTTGGCACAAGGATCAACTTCCACCTTGTCGTAGTCCAGGCAGTTTGTTTACTGTATCTTGCTACTACTTTTAAAATGAGCTGTTTGCCTTTGAAAAATAAGCATGCTTGAGCCTCCTTCTTTCCAGCTAACTTGCTGATGTGTCTTGTGACCCTTCAGGGTGTTTGGACTAGATATCCAGGGCAGGGACTGTGGAGATCAAGTGGCTCAGTGGATCACCACTTTCCTGAATTCAGAGCCATATCGACTGGTGCACTTTGAGCCCTCCATGGTGCCAAGAAAGTCAAAGGACATCATAAACCTTTTCCGAACCACAGATGAGGTAAATTAATGTTCTTTTTCTCAGAAGTATTTTATTTTAACCATTTCCCACCCACTCACCCAAAGCTGCCCATTCCATCATTGGTGATTGAGCCCAGTTTAACCACATGAATATTTTCTGTTTCTGTAATGAGATGACTTGCTTAAATTTTACTTCAAATTTGATCTAAGCTGTTGACCATTCACAGCTAAAGAGCCCAATATTGATATTTGAAGAGGAACTATTACATTGCAGATTTTAATAGCATTCTTTTGTGCCTCAGTGAATAGAAAAAAGTTATATTTTTAAAGGTATTTTGATGGTGTAGTCTATGTTGCATAGAAAACCTCCATTCCCTGGTCCTTGTTAGGTCTAAGAGTGTACAGATGCAAGTTGTGTTACCCCATACTTTGTTTAAAGAACTGGTGCTTAACCCGGGGCTTGAGTTGTGGGCCTACAAATTAGAATCCAAAGAAGGTTGTGGAGGTTTCATCTCTCTCTTTTGCTGTGGGAAGAGGCTTGAAGGTGTAGTATTAGAGAAAGTTAACACAGGTAGAGAAAGTAGACGCTGTGTTCAGAAGTCCCCCTATCATTGGAGCCACTTATGCCCTTGTTTTTGTCTGAACAACTCTCACATGAAGATGGTTTGAAGTGTACCTCATGAGTGTAAACTTTCTAAGCAAGTGCAGATTGTGAGTACCTTGCCTTTCTGATGTGATTTTGTTATCTATAGGGCATCAGTGTTCTGCTGCTTGTTGCACAAAGAGGACAAAGTGTATTCAATTACGGACTTTTATACATATACCCTTATTATGTAAGCGCACTAAGACCAGTAGAGAAGACTAATGGATTCAGCAAAAGGGATGACAGAGTAGGAGGGGTGACGTTCAGGAATCCTGGCATGAAAAGAAGGAAGAATTGTTTTTATAGTTATTACGACACTCATCTTCTTGTGGTTGTAAAGGCACATATATGGAGGGGGAAGAATAATATAAGAAAAAAACAAGAGGAGGCCTATACACTAAAATTCTTGCCAAAATTTACCTTCCCCCCCC